AAATTGCATTCTTCATTTCTTCCTGGCTCTTATTGTGTCCTTTTTCATGCTGATATAGTTTGCAATAAGTTCCTCTTAGTTTCCCTGTAGTGTTTTTAATTCTCATTTAAATCTTTGAGCTTCCTTATAACCATTGTTTTGAATTCAGTATCTGATAGTTTACTTGCGTCCATTTCACTTAACACTCTTTGTGGGGATTCCTCCTTTCCATTCAATTGGGGGTTGTTTCTCTGTCTTCCTATTTTAGAGACTTTTCTTGTTTGCTTCTGCTTCTTAATTTGATCTGTTTTTGACTCCCTGAATTTGTGGTGTGAACTTCTATAGTAGGAGACCTATGTGATTCAGTGGTGCAGTCTCCTTGATCACCTGAACTTGATGCTCTTGGGATGCCCTTTATGCTGTTTTTGTTGGGTCTCTGGATGTAATTGGGTTTTGATTGTTTTGGGGTCATTCTTTGGTGGGTCCTTCCCTCTAGCTGGCTGACTTTCACTTCACCTACTACATCTTGTGTGCTATTGTGCAGATGCTGCCAGAACAAAACCATAAAACCCAGGGAACAAACCCATACCTGTAAAAATAACTCCCCTTTAAATCCTACTGTTGACAGCAAATGAACCAGTATTAATAAGGGTGGAAAGAGATTGAGACTACTATAAGAAAGGAGTGTAAATATGAGATGACCTACTGAATGCAAAATAATTTTGGGAATGTAGAGAGAGGAGTACTAATTAGAGAAGAGAATTGGAGCAATGCAAAGAGAGAAAGTAAAATTTACATCATAAATAAAAAAGGGAATGAAGAAGACAGAATGGAGTAAGAGAAGAAAAGCATATAGTATTAGGTTTAAACAGGAAATAAAATGGAGTGAGAGACGAAGGAAAAGGAAAAAAGTAAATAAATAGTAAAAAAATAGGGACCAAATCGGAGAGAAAGATCTACCACAGCACAGACTGGAGAGCATTATGCTAAGTGAAATAAACCAGGTGGTGAAAGACAAATACCATATGATCTCACCTATACGTGGAACTCAACAAAACAAACAAGCAAGCAAAATGTAGCCAGAGACATTGAAATAAAAAACAAACTGACAGTAACCAGAGCGTAGCAGGGAGAGGGATAATGGGGGATAATAGGGTAAGAACCATCAAGGAACATGTATAAAGGATGCATGGACAAAGCCAGAGGGGGTAGGTTTGAGTGTGGGAGGCGGGGGTGGGTGGGGTAAAGGGCTGTGGTGGGGTGAAAATAGAGACACCTGTACTTGAACAACAATAAAAACACAAATGAACTAAAATTAATATAGGTGGGATGGAAATAAGAGGGCAAAAAGAAAGAAAAGTTTAAGAGATGTCTAGAGGAAAGGGAAGTGATTATGAGATGATAGAGGGAGAGACAATACTAAGAGTGAGGAATGAAAACCAGGCTAATACAGAGAAAAATAGAAATTTGAGATGAAGATAAACAGAAAAACAGGACAGGGTGAAAGATAAAGAAAGAAAAAACAGGTTAGGGCAGTGCAAAAGCAAAATTTGAGACAAAAAAGAGTGGGAGAGGGTGACAGTAAAACTGAGATACAAAATTAGTGAAGATCTAGAGATAAAATTGTAAAAATGCAACAACAATTAACCTATCCACAATCAGCAAGGAAAGATTGCAAAAGATGGAGAGAGAATGTGGGTACTTTAAGAGTGAGAAAAATGTGAGATACCCACTGACAAGAAAATTGGTTTTGAGAGGCTGGACAGGGGAGAAATAGTAAGAGTGAGAGGAATGGAAACAAGTTGTATCAAGAGAGGACACAAAATTTAAAATGAAAATAATAAGAGGAAAGAAGAAGGTAAAACAGGGTTAGAGAAGGAAGGGGTAATATATGTGAATTGAAATAAACTATGGTATAAAATCTAGTTACTTAACATGCACAAACTTGAAAGACAATAAATGAACATTAAAACGCCATGCAGGAAAGAAAATATCGAAAATCATGGAGAAGACCACCGTGAATTTTGTCTTGGTAGCATGTAGTATTTACCACTGTTTTTCTTTCTAGATCCGCCTCTGGTGATATTCGATGGTGTCCCCTTCTGACCTTAGAGAGCGTATTCGAGACTACCAGGGATCTGCCTGTGGCTCACTGCTTCAGTTGTTAATCTGTTTGCTCGGCACTCAGCAGTCAGGCTTAAGCACCACAGATCCAGGGCAGAGTCCCTCCTGGGGTTAGAGCTATTGCTTCCCCTTAGGCTGCTGTCACTGGGAGGGGAGTGCTCTACCTGAGCACAATGGTTGCTATAGTATGGGGGATGACTCAGCATAGGGGGGTCTGGCGGCTTCTTTCTCAGTTTTCTCCCCAAATCTTTCATCCCAGTTTCTTCTCAGGCATCTCTAACCCACTGTGCTCCTGTCTTTGCCAGAGACCTGGATAAGTGGCTGCAAATGAAAATTTATGTGTTGTCCCTTTAAATGGCTCTTTGCATCTCCAGCCATCCATCTCTGGCAGAGAGCAACCTTGCTGCTTTTCGCAGCTGGATGTTATCTGTGTACTTTTGGGGCTCTGGTGCTCTAGGCTGGGGATTTAGACTCCACACTTCTCAGGGGGGATCCAAGTAGCTGCTTAATTATCGCTCTGGCATTGCCATCTTTGGGCATCCAGCCAGCCCTCTCGTGTCTGTACCATACTCCCTACCTTTTGCATTGTGCTGAAGCTGATCCTTCTGTATATGTAGTTACAAGGCTGTTTTCTCACTATTGTTCAGTTGTTTGTTCTGGGTGATTTCTCCACAATTTAGTTGTAATTTGAGATTGGTCCTGGGAGGAAGTTAGTGTGGCTCCCACTCACTGTTCTGCTATCTTGGATCCCTCTGCCTTTGCTGTTTTTAAAAAATATATATTTTATTCATTATGCCATTATAGTTGTTCTATTCCCCCCTTCATTCCCTTCCACCCTGCACACCCCTCCCCCACCACTCCCCCCTTTAGTTTATGACCACGTGTCTCAAGTTCTTTAGATTCTATATTTCCCCCACTATTCTTGCCCTCCCCCTATCTATTTTCTACCTACTGTCTATGCTACTTATTTTCTGTACCTTCTCTCCCCTTCTCCTTCTCCCACTCCCCTGTTGCTAACCCTCTATGTGATCTTCATTTCTATGGTTCTGCTCCTGATCTAGCTGTCCTCTTAGTTTGCTTTTGTTTTAGGTGTGGTTGTTAATAACTGTGAGTTTGCTGTCCTTTCACTGTTCATATTTTTTATCTTCTTTTTCTTACATAAGTCTCTTTAACATTTCATATAATAAGGGTTTGTTGATGATGAATTCCTTGAATTTGATCTTATCTGAGAAGTACTTTATCTGCCCTTCCATTCTAAATGAAAGCTTTGCTGGATAGAGCAATCTTGGTTGTAGGTCTTTGGATTTCATGACTTGGAATACTTCTTTCCAGCCCCTTCTTGCCTGCAAGGTCTCTTTTGAGAATCCACTGACAGTCTGATGGGAACTCCTTTGTAGGTGACTGTCCCCTTATCTCTTGCTGCTTCTAGGATTCTCTCCTTCATTTTAATCTTGGTTAATGTGATGATGATGTGCCTTAGTGTGTTCCTTCTTGGGTCCAACTTCTTTGGGACTCTCTGAGCTTCCTGGATTTCCTGGAAGTCTATTTCCTTTGCCAGATTGGGGAAGTTCTCCTTTATTATTTGTTCAAATAAGTGTTCCATTTGCTGTTTCTCTTCCCCTTCTGGTACCCCTATATTTCGGATGTTGGAGCATTTAAAGATGTCCTGGAGATTCCTAAGCCTCTCCCCATTTTTTTTTGAATTCTTGTTTCTTCATTCTTTTCTGTTTGGTCATTTTTTTTCTTCCTTCTGGTCCACTCCCTTGATTCGAGTCCCAGTTTCCTTCCCATCACTATTGGTTTCCTGTGAATTTCCCTTCATTTCAATTAGTTTAGCCTTCATATGTTCCTCTAATTTGTGACTAAAATCAGCCAGATCTATGAGCATCCTGATCAGCAGTGTTTTGAACTGTGCATCTGAAAGTTTGGCTATTTCTTCGTTGCTTAGAGTTATCTGCTTCGGGGGTTTGAGTTCTTCTTGAGCCATGTTTTGGTCTGTTTGCACCTGTTAGGTAGGAGGAGCAGAGCCTTAGGTGTTCACCAGGGCGGGGTGCCCAGGTCGCTGGTTTGTGACGCTGTATGTGGAGGCGGGGTCAGAGAGGAAGCAGTGGCAGTCCCCTTTGCTGCTGCTTCCCACCACTGGGGCCTGCGCGGTCTGTCTCACTGCTTGCTCCTTCACTGGTTTATCCGCGCTTGAATGTGTGACCAGGGTCAGCCTGCTGCCCGAAACAACCCCACACCTGGGAATTCGCCAACCGCCGACCTTGCGCCTGGGTTGGTCTGACTGAGTTCCTGAGCAACCCCGCTCTGCCAATGGCTCAGTCCCTCTTACTGGTCTGGCTGAAAGGCTGGTCGTGAATGTGTGACTGTGGTCAGGCTGCTGTCTTGTGCCTTCACTATGTCCGCCCATTGCTACCCCACACCTGGGATCTGCCCTCGGCTGCCTTTGCGCCTGGGTTGGGGGATCTTTTTCCCCCTGACCCGCTCTGCTGCTGGCTCTGCCCCTCTTACCGGTCTGGCTGAATGGTTTATTGTTTTCGGACTTCCATATAATTCAATTTTCTATGGTTTGGCTGCATTTTTTGTTGCTAAAACTTTGTTGTTTTTAAACTTGGTTGTGCGAGAAGGCACTGTGTTTCCACCTATGCCTCCATCTTGGCGGAAGTCTCTGTCTTTGCTGTTATTAAAGAATGCACATAAATGCATAGTTTGAAAATCTGATTTGGTACCATGATGTCACTTTTAAAAATGAATTTACTTATAGCAGTCATTTAGCTTTAGTGAATTTTCTATATAGGTGCCTTAATTTTTGTTCCAAACTTTTTAATGATATTGGAGACTATGAATTTGCTAAAAAGTATCAGAAAATAACTCTTTCCTAATAACTTTATTTTTAGGCACCCCACAGTTTACTCGAAGCACTAAAACAGCATTTAGCTTCTTTGGAAGAGAAAAATGATGATTTTCTTCCTTCCAAGTAAGTTAACAAATATCTGAGTATAGGTTAATTTTGTTTCCCTCTAAAAAGTTTCCTCATTTTAATGTGACTAAATAAATTATGGGCTTTGAATATGATGGAATACTATGCAGTGATTTTAAATGATAATACAGAATAGAGATTTTCAGTCTTTTGTGGGATTCCATACTCTTCACAAGGGTGATTGATTCTCAAAGGAGCATCTTTTATTACACTGAGTGATTCTCAAAGTCAGAGGTTGGGACTGGAATATCCCCTTCTTTTGAAGAATTTGATTTCCTCCCTTAGGGGCTGCGCTAATGGGCATAACTGTTGTAGATAATTACTTAATGGCATGGCAAACTGTTTAACTACAAAACAGTATGCATAATAACATTCAAGGAGTATATCACTTGGAATTGTTCCCACTAGTTATTTCTTTTTTTTTTCTCAATAATTTTACTTAGTTATTTTTCAAGTACAGTTTTTTGCCTGTTTCTCCCATCCCAGGCCTCCACCCCGTGCTCCCCACCTCCCTCCCATTTCCACCCCCACAGTTCTCATCCCTGTGTCCTTCATATTTGCTTCTCCAAATCCCTCCCCTTTTTCCTCCTTAAATTCCCCCACTAGTTATTTCTGAATGAAAAATTATGGTTGATTTCAATTGTCCTTTTTGTATTCTTCAGGTGTCTAAAATTTCTGTAAAGGTCGTGTATTATTCATGCATTCCACTTTTAGTTATGTTGCTTATACTTGATTTTTATTATCACCTTCTACTAGACAACAAATTTGTTGACTATTTCTTATTTATCTCTTCATCACATGTAGATGTATAATTAGTATATAGTTGGATGGATGGATTGATTGAAAGGTGGATAGATGGATGAATTAAGAAATGTAGGTTCAGTTATGTGATTCTGTTTATTCATGAATGTGCCTCATCTTTCTTGTGATCTCTTAAGTCTCCAGCATTCATTGATTCCCTCCACCTCAGATAGTTCACTTGCGAAAGCTTCATCAAGCCAAGCTTTGTTTTCAGGTAATATGTAATTATGTCACATATTTGTTTTCAGGTAATATGTGATTATGTCATGTAACATGAACATATTATATTATTATGTCCTATAATATGAATATTCTATATTCAATATGTAATGTGAATATATTATATGAATGTCAGTAATAATTGAGGACAGGATTTGAATCTTTAATTCTTCCACTGCATAGCCACCTACTATTTCTGGTACCTGTTCCTGAAAGCAGTCTTTTACCTAGCAATTCCACTTCTAAGATTTATTTTATATATATTTTCACAGTTGTGAGATGATGTATTAACAAGGATATTCATTGCAACATCCTAATTGTAAAATGAATTGTAAAATAAATAAGGGGCTTGTTTTTATGTATTGAAATAGAATGATAGCCAAGATGTATTGTTAAATGGAAGATGAGCGAGATGTGAAACAAAGTATAGTAAGCTACATCTTTGTTTTTAAAAACAGAAAAAGAAAGAATATATGTATATGTTTATATAATTTCTATATACAAAAAACAAATAAAATACCCTTCCTCCAAAAAGAACTTGGTGGCTCATGGAAAGAGATAGGTGAGAAAATCTTCAATGTATACCGGTTTGTAATTTTGGATTTTGTACATGCAAGCAATTACTAATTTAAAGATAAATTTTACAAAGAAACATACATATAGGGTGAGCTGGGTTGGAAGTAAAAGACAGAAAACTGTACTTGAACAACAACTAAAATAAATAAATTAAAAAAGAAACATACATACATACAGTGTGATACCTTCTAATGCTTAACATGTAAGTCTGTTGTAACTTCTTGAGGTTAGTTTGCTTCATACTTAAGTATTATTCTAAATCCAGCTCACACCAACTTACAAGATCCCATTGCTAAATTTTCAGGCATTTTACAAGCTGCTTGATGTCATGTTAGTAACTTGAAATTGGCCATGATGGAAGTATTTACATCACGGGAATGGACAAACACTACAAAGCAGGCCTTCTGTTTTTTTCCTGGAGAGCTGGTTGTTATATATTTACTGGCACATGGCCGCTCATAATCAGTCATATTCTGTTTTTTAATGTGTGATAGTTTTTCAACATTACTTGATCTTCTAGACACACATTCATGTATTAATGAGCTCTATGTATCTGAATTAAAGGTTATTCTTAGTTTAACTCAAAAACTTAAACTGTATCTATTTTAAATGTTTTTGTTTTTCTTTTGTGCATATATTCTCAATGGATACACCTGCAATTTCCATGGGTGAGTTTAACCAAAACTATGACGAACTTAAGTCCTTTGAGTAAAGCCATATGTATCGCAAAAACTGTACTTTTGCTTAAAGAATGACTGCTTTTTTGAGTCCCGATGGTTTGGGAATCATTAGTGCTTACAATAGATATTACAAGACTATTAAATGTAGTGTTTGACAAGCTGTGTTTTGACTCTACTGTGAATTTGTATCCCAAGTAGAGTGTGGGGGAGTAAGAGAACTACTACTACCATTATTATAAATGCTTGTGGGCCTGATTACTGACAGACCCAAACTGACTTCTGGTGATCTCCACATGTTTCCCTGAGCACTTGGCCCAGGTTGTCTAACCATTATTCCTTGAACCGCTTCTGTTGAAAATTCTGTGCCCAGCTGAAACCAGTTTTTCCCCTTAATCACTGTGATTTTAAAATATTGAAAATAGAATCAGAGTGGTTGGGCTCAAATTTCACTCTACCATTCATGGACTTGGTGACTCTGAACAGATGGCCTAACTTCTCTGTGCCTCAGCTTCCTTATCCTCATAAGGTTGTTGTCAGGATAAATGAGTCAGAACATGTAGAGTGTTCTGAACAGGGCCTGACTCATGTGTTATTTAGAAGTGCATTTTAAAGTCACTTGTATATAGGGGTCTCCTAATTATCTGTTTTGTTATTGAATTCTAGCTTACTTGCACTTTGTCAGAGAACCTTCTCGGAAATTTCAGTCCTTTGGAGTTTGTTGATATATGGCCTAGCCTATAATAATTTTTTTTTGTAGACGTTTCATGTGCACTGGAAAACTGTATCCTGTCATTGTTGGGTAGTGTCAGTTAGGTCGAAGTTGTTAACTGTATTGTTTAAATCCTCTATATCTTAATTGACTATTTTGTCTGCTTGTTCTTAGAATTGCTAAGAAAGGTGTGTTAATATTTCCCCTATTTGCTTTTGAATTAATTTAAGTACTTTAGGTAATTAGGTAATGCAAGTCAGGTTTTTGTATCCATCAAACTACTAAAATTGCTATTGTCAGAGTCACCAGTGACCTCCATGTTGCAGAATCCATTGATAATTTCTCAGTCTTCATCTTTCTGGGATGCCTCAATAGCATTGGACATAGTTCATCATTCCCTCTACTTTGATACATTTTCTTAGGTTTGCCTTTTGGTTTTGTTCTTATCAAAGTCTTGGCTCCTTTTTTAAAAGAATTTGTTCACTGATTTGTCCTTATTTCTCTTCTTTATCTGTATGTATTCATTTCCTAGATGATCTCACCCAGGCTGATACCTTTAAATATCATTTACATGATTGAACTCCCAAATTAGCATCTCTAGCTATAGCTATTCCTCCTGAACTCCCGAATTGTGTCTATTCAATGGTTTCACTTGAATATGTGATAGTGGCTCAAAACTCAGTATGTTCCAAACTGAGCTCCTGGTACTCTAACCCCAAATTGCTTTAACCATGGGTTTTCCCATCTAAGTTAATGGGAAATAGCAATTTATTTCTTCTATTTGCTCAGGCCAAAAGTTTTAGAGTTCCTTGACTTCTTTCTTTCTGTCACACCCCATATTTAATCCATCAGGGAATCTGTTGATTTTACCTTCAAAACCTGTCTAAAAGTTGACCATTTTTCACTACCTCCAGTGCTATCACCCTAGTCTGAGTTACTATTGTCTCTTAACGTAAACAAGAGCTTTCTGACCACTTACATCCTTCTGTCTTTGCCCCTACAGTCCATTTCCCTCCCTTTAAAAATTATGTATTGGTTTCAGGTGTACAGCTTAGTGGTTAGACACTCAAATACTTTACATAGTGCTCCCCTCAATATTTCTAGTACCCCAACTGGCACTATACATAGTTATCACAATATTATTGACTATATTTCCTGTGTTTCACTTACATCCCTGTGACTATTTTGTAGCTACCAAATTATGCTTTATAATCCCTTCATCTCTTTTACTCAGTCCTCCAAAATCCCTCTCCTCTGGCAACCACCAGTTTGGAAATTCCATACTGTTTTCCACAGTGGCTGCACCAGTCTGCATTCCCACCAACAGTGCACTAGGGTTCCCTTTTCTCCAAATCCTTGCCAGCACTTAATTGTTTGTTGATTTGTTTATGTTGGCCATTCTGACTGGTGTGAGGTGGTATCTCATTGTCATTTTAATTTGCATGCCTCTGATGGCTGGTGATGCTGAGCATTCTTTCATCTGTATGTCCTCCTTGGAGAAGTATCTGTTTAGGTCCTTTGCCCATTTTTTCATTGGATTGTTTGTCTTCCTGGAATGGAGTCATGTGAGTTCTTTATATATTTTGGAGAGCAAACCCTTGTCCAAGGTATTGTTTGCAAATATATTTTCCCATACAGTTGATTCTCTTTTCATTTTGCTGATGTTTTCTTTAGCAGTGCAGAAGGTTTTTGTTCTTTAAACAGACCAAGCACACTTTTTCCTTAGGGCCTTTTTTCATGCTGTTCCTTCTTCTGGATCTTGTGGTTTACTCTCTCAGATCCTTTAGTTCTTTACTTAAAAGTCCCTTTCTCAGTGAGCCTTTCCTATCTAAAATTTAAGTATCCCCACCCTCCACCAGCATATACCACTTTTCCTGATGTTTTTTCTTTAGCATTTATCATAATCTAATATATTATATGTGTTATCTGTCTTGGTTAATTTCTTTCTCCAATAGAATGTAAACTACATCAAGGCAGGGATTTTTATCTTTTTTATTCACTTTTGTATCTTTAGCACCTAGAACAGGACCTGACACATAACAGGTGTTCAATTAAAATTTATTTAATGAATAATTTAACATGACTTTATTTATACTCATTAACCTAATAGCTTGAGGTCCTGTTTATAATGGGAAGGTACATATATGTAATTAGTGTATTGATATAAATTTTGCCTAGATTTCCATCTAATCCTGTCTTTTATTTTCAGATTATTTTGTCTACATGATATATTACAACTAACATGATCTTCATAAGCCTACAATCCTGTTAAAGCCAGACAACCTTATGGAACAACAACAGGAAACAATCTTGATGACCCATTTCCCAGCCTCATAGAAAGTATGCATACTTTTTTAAATTAATATTTTTACATGTAGATAGATTTTTACTTTCCCAGGAAGCTACTGTCTTTATTTATTTATTTTGATTTTTAAAATTTTAAAATTCTTTTTATGTATTTTTTCCATTACCATTTATCCCCTCAATGCCTTCTTCCATCTCCACCCATCCCCGCCCCCCACAATCACCACATTGTTTCCTGTGTCTATGAGTTCTTTCTTTTTTCCTTTTAAATTCATTTTAAGAAAAATATTTATATAAAAATAATGCATTTTTTTGTTTTATAAAACAGATTTTAAATTCGGAGAAAGCCTAGTCAACAAGTAAGTGTTTTTTATTATTGACACTACTACAGATGTCCCCCATTTTCCACTCCACCTTTTCCCACCTCCACATAGCCCAGCCTGACCTTCCCTGGCCTTCACCACATTGTTGTCTTTGTCTGTGGGTTATGCATATATGTTCTTTGGCTAATCTATTTACCTTCCTTTAGTCAGTTCCCCAACCCCCTCCCCTCTGACAGCTGTAAGTCTGTTCCATGTGGCCACCATGCCTCTGGATCTGTTTTATTTTATTTTTAATATTTTATTTATTTATTTTTAGAGAGAGGGGAAGGAAAGGAGAAAGAGTAGGAGAGAAACATCAGTATGTGGTTGCTTCTCATGTGTCCCCTACTAGGGAACTGGCCCACAACCCAGGCATGTGCCCTGACTGGGAATCGAACAGGCGACCCTTTGCTTCACAGGCCCATGCTCAATCCACTGAGCTACACCAGGCAGGGCTGGATCTGTTTTATTTATTAGTTTATTTTGTTCGGTGTGGAGTTTAATCAACAAGTAAGTTTTTATTATTTTAAAAAGGCAGCCAATAAATACATGTTAGAGGAAGAGGCTTACAAGAGTAGCAACCAGAAAAATAATTATTTTGAAATTAGATATAGGAGTAATTTGTTATAAAACTCTATACCATGTGAATCTTTTACTTAATTAAAGTAGGGAATTTATTCGTTATATACTAACCCAATTTTTGTAGGTAAATTTCTTGGTTAAAGTATACTGTATTGCATGCTTCTCCTCCTCCCCTCTGACAATCTCTTTATGGTTCATTTGAAGGATCTTTTTCTAAGTATGTCTTAAATATTGACATTCTTCATAGTTCTTTGTGCTTTGGGGTTTATTCTTACTTTATGATATAGACTGCATTAAATGAGTAATACTTATACTTTATTTTATTAAACAAAGACAACAGAACTACCAGATCAGCATCATACAATAATCAATATTACTCTAGTAAGTGAATCTCTACACTTTCAGACTTCCCAACAGACAAATGGAAACCAGAGGTAGGTAGGAGTGATCATATTAACAATATTAATAATGTGGAATGTAAAGTTAAAAGCACTAAACAGAATAAGGAGGGATATCATATGATGATAAAAGGTACTATTTATGGGGATACGAAGGTCTTAATACTGTATATACAAAGCTAAGTATGTAAGCCAAAATTATTAGAACTATGTGGAGAAAAATACAGTTGTGATCAGTGATTGCAAACCACCTCATTCATTGTTAGATCTAACAGATAAAACACAAGTAAGGACATAGAGGAACTTGAATAATACATAATAAACAATAAACTTGCTTGTACATACACATAGAATGTTTATTTTCTTCCAAGCAATCACAAAGAAAAGCTTAACAAGAAACTTAACAATTTATAGGCTATATTTTGATAATCCAATAAAATTAGAAATAATAAGTAGTTACCATGAAAACTCTGAAGTACTTATAAATTCTTAAATATAATCCTTTGCCAAAGAGGAAACCAAAAGGAAAGTTACAGATTATTTAGAGGTAATAAAAAAGTGAACTTCATACCAAAGCTAATAGATCAGTGTGAAAGATAAACTCGGAAGAAAATTTAATCATTGTTTAAAAAATAAATAAAAAATAATTTAGTTTTTGTTACAGTAAGAAAATAGATATAACAAAAATGTATTAGATTGATAAAATTTATAAAGATAGGAGATCCAAGGTGGCAGAGGAGTAAGTGGAAGCTACACTAACCTCTTCTGAGGACCATTCTGGGATTACAACTAAATTGTAGCAAAATCATCCTGAATAACCAACTGAACACTAGCTGGAGAGAAGCCTTATAACCATGAACAGAGAGAAGGAACCACTTCACCAAAATAAGACTCAGAGAGAGTACATAGGAAGCATGAGTGGGCTGGCTGGCCTCTAACAGGCAGCAGCTGAAGTTCCAGAGGGACATTTCAATAGCCAAAGGGTTTCCTTTGAGAAGTGTGGGTTACAGAGAGGGGAAGGGAAGGAAAAAGAGAGGCATTAAGCATCAATGTGTGGTTGCCTCTTGCATATCCCCGCATTGGAGACCTGGCCTGCAACCCACGCATGTGCCCTGACTTGGAATCAAACCTGTGACCCTTTGCTCCGCAGGTCCATACTCAATCCAATGAGCTACACCAGCCAAGAAATATTTCAAAAATTTGTGTAAAACCACAAAAGGCCCCACATAGCAACAGCAATCCTGAGAAAAGAATAAAATTGGAGGAATCATGCCACCAAATATCAAACTATACTATAAGGCCATAGTAAGTAAAACAGCATGGTACTCCCATAAAAACAGACACATAGATCAGTGGAACAGAATAGAGAGCCAACAACCCATGGAATGGGAGAAAATACTCACTGATACATCTGATAAGAGGTTTATATCTAAAAATCTATAAAGAACTTACAGAACTCAACACCAAAAAGCAAGTGACCCAATTAAAAAAGTGGACAAAGGATATGAATAGATACTTATCCATAGAGGACTTACAGATGGCTAATAGGCATATGAAAAAATGTTCAGCATTACTAATTATCAGAGAAATGCAAAGTAAAACCATGAAGACATACTGTCTCACACCTGTCAGAATGGCCATCATCAATAAATCAATAAACAATAAGTGCTAGCAAGGATGTGGGAAAAGGGAACCCTTTTGCAGTGTTGGTGGGGATGCAGATTGATGCAGCCATCATGGAAAGCAGTATAGAGACACCTCAAAAAATTAAAAGTGGATCAGATTTTCTACCCAGCTGTCCCTCTTCTAGGAGTATATCCAAATGAACACAAAACACTAATTTGAAAGAACATAAGCATCCTTATGTTCATTGAAGAGTTATTTACAATTGCCAAGATGTGGAAGCAGCCCAAGTGTCCATTAATAGATGAATGGATGAAACAACTATGGGACATTTACACATGGAATACTACTCGACTGTAAAAAAGAAAATTATACCCTTTTCAACAGTATGGATGGACCAAGAGAACATTATGCTAAGTAAATTAAGCCTGTCAGAGAGAAACAACTACCATATGATTTCACTCATATGTGGAGTCCAATGAACAAACTGAACTAAAGAAAAATGGGACAAATTCATTGATGGAGAGCAGGATTACAGCCATGGGGGAGGGGAGATTCAGAGGTGGAGGGATTGAGCAAAAAGGAAAAAGGACTCATGGACAACAGTGTGGTGATTGCTGGTGGGAGGGGTGTATAAGGGGACTAAACGGTAATGGGGAAAAAGTACAATAAAAGTTAAAAATTAATGTATAAAAACCCTAAAAAACTCATAAAGATAGAAGCTTAATAAAATTTCAAAAAAGAAGAAGTCTAAACTTATTTCCTTTTAAAGTTCAAGAAAATGAGCTTGTCTAATTAAAGAGAAAAGAGACTGTAAGAGTATATAACATAAGGAATAAGAGAGCTGACATAACAGATGTAGGAGAGATTAAAATAATTATAAGGAAATACTTTTTGCAACTGTTTGGCTATAACATATTTGAAAGTTTAGAGGAAATTGATTATTTCCGAGCAAAATATAAATAATAAATTCATCTCAGAAGAAGCAAAAGCATACTTAGAAAAGTCACCACATAAGTTTTTGAAAAAGTAATTCAAGATTTGCTGAAAGCATCATGCGTTTGGGGTTGAACTTGAGCCCTTAAAGAATAGAGCATAGGAAAAAAGGAAAGATGTACAATTCAGTGTATGAAATGATGTAACTTTAATATCAAAGACCAACAAAGATAGGAATCTGCTAACCAATCTCATTTATTGTAGATGTCAGAATTTTAAATAAAATATTCACATATAAAATCCAGGAATATATTTTAAAATTCCACTCCCTGTACAGACTGCTGCTTCCTTTCTCTTGAAACATGTTGTGTGAAACATCCTGTCTGGGATGGTAGTCATGGAGGTGGTATAATGGAAAGTGCATGCATCTTGGATGTGTTTTGGAGGTAGAATTGATAGTACTTGGTATTAGAGGTGAGGGAAAAGAGATTGAGTAATGGTGTTTAGGTTTTTGGATGATGGTGCCATGTGTTATGATGAGAAAGATTGAAAGGGAAATAATTTAAGTAGTTAAGTTGAATCAAGTTGTGTTTTGACATGTTATATTTGAGATATGTATTAGACATTCAAGAGACAGGTAGACATGTGAGTCAGAATATTAGGGCCAGAGATAAAACTTTGTGAGTTTTAAATGTGGCAGTTAAAGCCATAAGACTAGATGAACTCATCTTGTTAGAGAATAAAAAGGAAAATGGTAGGTTCAGAATTGAACTTTCAAAATATCCTAATATTATGGAGGCTGAATAGAGAAGGCGTGTGTCAAGAATTGAGGAAAAGAAAGTACAAACAATTGATCAGGAATAAATATAGTATTGAGCCTTTAAGCAATAATCCTGGAAGATAGAAGATAATACTTCAACCTGTTAAATATTCTTCTTTGTGAAATTTATTTCCAATCTAAAATTGTGTACTCACATGAGCTCTCAACCAAATACAAGAGATAAACATTTTCAGACACCCAAAACCTAAAAAGGTTCCTATTGTGCACCTTTGCTCAAGCAAGTGACTGCGGGGTGTGCTCCAGCAAAATAGAAATGAACTAAGAAAGAGGAACGCATGGGATTCAAGGAAACAAAAAGCCACACTTCAGTGAGAGGTGGAAGTCCTAATATAACAATTGAAGTCCCAGAATGACATTTGTACAGCAGCCAGTTTAGATTGGAGCAGAAGGATATAGAGCTCCAGGAGAGTTATGTTCAGGAAAAAATGAAAATGACAGATTATTTGCTTTTAACATTTATTGTTTATTCTGAGCCAGATACTGTTCATTCTAACTCTTTTACACATAAGTCATTTAATATTTCTACTTGGGATAGCTGTTATTTCCACTACATGTAAGCTCCATGAAGGCAGATATTTTCATCTGTTTTATATATTCCAAACACCAAGAATAGTAATGGATATTTAATAGATATTTAATGGGTTTTTGTTGAATGAATGCAGTGAATGTACAATGCACATTTTACATATGGGGTAACTGAGATACAGAGATTCTAATGCTTGTCCAACTTTGTATACTTGTTAAGTGGGTGAAGTGGGATGTGAACCCAGGCAGTCTTGCTCTATAGTCAGAGCTCTTAATCTCTATATTAGCTATATATATAATATTTCAAAAATGGGAGGAGGTGGGATGTATTGTATCAGAGTGTTGCATCTTCCAGAGGAAATCAGTAACATCTAACATTTATAAATTAAGACATAGTAGTATAAACATCTTAAGTATAATGGAATTAAATACCATAAGGAAGAGTGGCTAGTTTTGGAAAGGGGAACTGGTGACATTTTAGTTTTAGCTCTTTTCACACTATTTGAATTTTTACAGTCTATAGCGCAGATAAAAATTAAATGTGGATTAGTCAAATGGTGAATATGGAATAAAGATGAGTTTTTAGAGACAAGTACCATGTCTTAGAATTATCATTAAAGTGTACGCAGAATAGAGTATTACATGACTTGGTAGAGGAGATGAAAAAGATGTAGAAGATAAGGATAATAAACTTAACTACTAGTTTCAAGTATAGGCTCCTAGTCGTACCATTAATTAACTGTAGGACCTTAAGCAAAATACTTGTTTTCTCTGAGGCTCAGTTTTGTCATCCATAAAATGAGATTTATAATACTTGCTTCAAATGGTGGTTATGAAAATTAAATGATAATTAAGATTGTGACAACACCTAATAGAGCCTAGTAAGAATAGATGCCTGATAGAGATTGTTTCCATTTCTTTCTATTTATTCTCTTATTTATACAAAATATTTCCTACATGACATTATTTTTCTCATAACTCTAATAACTCATTCTACAGAACAGACAAAGCATTGTTTATCCCCATTTTACATACAAGGAAAGAGGTCAAGTTATGTAATCAAGGTTATACAGATATACTTATGTCCTTTTGACCCACTACCATGGAGAATACTAGTTTTTTATTTAAAACTACTAAAATAGTTTAGAATAAAATGTATTCACTCAAGTCAGTTTGTTTATAGGAAAGTGCTACTAGTGAATTCTTTCTGTAGAGTCTCAGATTTTTTTAGTGAGGAATTTAAATATGGAATTATCTGTCAAACCTAAGCTGAGACATTTAGTTTGTAAAGATACCTGAATCTTATATAGAAAATAGCCAGTGGCCTCTTTTGGGCTTTGTTTTGTGATTCCTTGCTATTATCTCTTACTTGTTCATAAGCATAAACATTGTATCAAAGGCTGTATTCTTCTGACTAGATGTTTAAATGGTAGATTTGTCATTCTCCTACTAAATAGACTGATTTATAATTCCCATTTTAGATTTGATGTGAAGTCTCATCCGTCTTCAGAGATGGAAATTGCTGATGGAATGAACTGGTCATTGAGTCCCACTTCTATTGAGCCTTTTGTCTACAAGGTAAAATTTGTGATGTATCATCACCTTACTTTTTTATTTTAACTATTTTTGGCATATGTGAATAAGTTTTATTTTAACTTTTTTTTGGCATATAGAAATTTGTAGAAAGGAAAAGGGCAGAGCAAAAAATGTTTTAATTTTTTATTTTTATTTATTTATCTTTAGAGGGGAAGGGCAGGAGAGAGGGAGAGAAATATCAATGTATGGTTGCCTCTCATGTGTCCCCTACTGGGAACTGGCCTGCTACCCAGGTATGTGCCCTGATTGGGAATCGAACCACGGTTGTTTGGTTCTCAGGCCTGAGTTCAATCCACTGAGCTACACCAGCCAGGGTGAAGTGTTTTGTTTTTAATCAATTTAATGTATTATGCTAACATTTATTGTTGACATATTAAGCTGTTTCATAAATTAAAATGTGAAAATTCAAATTTAGGGCTTCTATAAGGTCTGTAGTTACCTCCCCATCACAGAATATTCACTCCTACTTTTTTTGCTCCACATTTATTGAGCACTTCTTAGGCACCAAGGACTGTGCTGAGAGATAAAGATACAGTAGCTGTATTGCAGAAAGACATACCATCAAATGGAGGCATTGAATATTATAAGTGCTAAGGTGAAATACTGTAGAGGGTGTGTTGGTTAATTTCATAAAGGAGCTGAACTTGAGGCCAAAGGAGATGAGGTGACTTGAAAACACTGGCAAATGGGGCATTCTAAGCAGAAGGAGCAGCATGAGCAAAGTCAGGAAACTTCATGGTCTATTCAGAGAGTTATAGGTAGTTTAACATGGCTGTAACATAATTTATAATGGGTGCAACAAGAGATAAAGCTAGAGTGTTTAATAGAGACCAGATCTTGTAGAAACTTGTGTAGTAGTTTGGGCTTTATCTTATAAGCAGTCACTTTCATATTTTTGAAAGATTAGTCCAGGAGGAGTGTGAAAGATGGATAATAAGGAAATAAGATACAGATTAGGAAAGTCTGAAGTGTTTTCAAGTTGTTGAAGCAAGATATCTAGAGTGGCCTGGTCTAGAATACTAAAGTAGTGGCAGTAGATTGAAAGATAGATTTTATATAAATACACACACACACAGGTAGAATTGATAGGAGTTGCTAATAGATTGAAGGTTGAAATATGGGTCTCCAGTAAATTGTCTTCAATTCTAAAATTCAAAACTCTCTGGAAAATTAGTTTTCTTGAAGTTTGCAACAAACTTTTGGCTGAAAAATGTTATCTGAACTATAATGAGGCTATCATCATTATTTTGCTAAGTGTAAGTATTCATATGTGAATTTTGGATTTGTGTTTTGCTATAGAAATATTAGTGTGTTCGATTAGAGGGTGCTATTTTAGCTCCCCTGGGGTGTTACTAATATGTTCTATATATAATTTTAATTATCTTTCTAAAATATAAAACATTGTGAATTCCAAAACACATTTGTCTCCAAGGACTTAAAGGATGTGGACCATTCGGTCATTGTGAGCATTAAATGAAGCAGTAAGTGCTCAATAAATATTAGCCAGCAGTATGATGATGGTGATGGTGCCAGTGATGATGATGATGATAGAGATTTTGTGCACAGTATTCCCACTCACTAGTATATGAAACATAGACCATTAAATTAAAGTTCCTCAGCCCTCAAAGAGGGATATGAAAATAGGAAGGCAAGGAGAATAAGCATTCTCCCTAACAATAACGAAGATGCTCTAGTGGAATTGTGAAAATGCTGGGAATACTTCTTCCTTGACAGACTTTTCTAGATCCTTGCTCCACTTTCTTATTCTCAAGCTTTAATGTGCATATGACTTACCTGGGGGTCTTGTTAAAATGCACTAATATCTAGGATGGGGATTGAGAGTCTGCATTTCTGGCAAACTACCAGCTGATGATGTTGATGCCTCTGGTCCATGGATCAGATTTGGGTAGCAAGTGCCTGGTAATAGGGCATATGCTGCAAGAATAGAAATTATTTATGAAACAGTTACTAGTTTGGCTCAGATAATATATATCAAGCATGAAGAAAACTTTTTATAGAAGAGGGAGGAACCAGGGTATAAGAATACTTTGGAAAATATCAGAAAGACTGATATCAAAGATGTATTTTGCCTCTTTGTTCAAGTCTCTTCTGGTCTGTTACTAGCACGTTGGGGTATGTCTAAGGTCAAAGGTCACTACTATCTCTCATATCACCTGGCAGTACACAAAGAGAGTAAGACAAGGAGTAAATTTGTGACTGTTATAGGCAAGGAAATTAAGTCATGGTTCAAAGCCAGGTATAATTTGATGTTATGCCAATAGCACTAATACTGTATACTACTTTGCTTTTCATCTGTTGTGGTGAAAGCCAAATTATCTTTATTTTTCACATTATCTCATATATCCAAATAATGTCATAACCAAAGTCTGGAAGGGAAAGTTGAAAAATTAAGAAAGTTTCCCTGGCTGGTGTGGCTGAGCAGATTGAGCACTGACCTGTGAACCAAGAGGTTGCTGGTTCAATTTCCAGTCAGAGCATATGCCTGGGTTGCAGGCCAGGTCCCCACTAGGGGGCATGTGAGAGGCAACCACACATTGATGTTTCTCTCCCTCCCTTCCCCTCTCTCTAAAAAGAACTAACTAAATAAAATATTTTTTAAAAAGATAGTTTTATTTGTTGGAGTTAGTGAGATTGTGATAGAAATTTTTTCTTTCATTTTGTTTACTAATGCTATTATTTTCTTTATGCAGTATAAAAAGAAGAATCATAGCCCTTTTTTATCTGAAAGTCCACATTTCTCTTGGGCGTGTAATGTTGTCCAAGCAAATCCCACTCTTTGGGGAAGAGTGGCATTTGCTCCTTTGAGCTGTGCTATGGTTTCCAACACAACATACCAGTAATTAGAAGTCCTTAAAACTCCTAAATTTCTCATGCTTGGAGAAAAATAACTGCCCTGGCTATAAAGTACTTCCTATATTTGTTATCAATATTAAATACATGGCATAATGTTATCAATATTAAATATATGGCAAATATAGGTAGAGAACATACTATATAGTAACTGACACTTTGCTTACAGGTACCACTTCCAGTGGCCTGTCCAGTGACTTCACAGCATGTGCCTATGTATGGAATGGTAAGAAAAAAACCTTTTAATATATCAAAAGTGGGAGACTGAGGTGAAACTTCCCATGGCTTGTACTAATAGAAAAGAGATATTGATCATTTAAAATGGAAGGTCATTTATCTATATCCTTTCCTTTCTATTTTCCTTTCTATCTATCCTGTCTATTTTGTACCTAACATTTATGCTTCTTGGAAAAACAGATAGCCCTCTTCTCATAAAGGCTCTGTGAGATGGCTAAATGGAATAGAGATGGGAACCTGAACAATGGGGAAGAGAAGTGATGTGCAGAAATGGGTTAAGGAAAGCTGTTCCAGAATTAATAGATAATCCAAAACAGGAATAATATGCACATAGTAGAGATTCAAATATAACTTACCTTACATTCTTGCTTTACACCGATAGTTACAAGCTACTGTTTGCTGCTGGTTTTCCTCCCTTTTCTAAAGTTTGGTTGTTGTTTGATTTTGTTTTGTTTTATTTGCCATCTTGCTGTTAGGGATCACTTCCACTCTATATCAAGCAGGTACAACACTAAGTGGAACTTAATAAGGCTGAATTTTTCTTACTGTGCAAGACTTTCCAATGGGAGAAATTATTAATACTGGTGGAATATCTGAAACTTTTTAGATTTCAGGTTTTTTATCCAACTTTTTTCTAACTCATTTTAGTCTCTTATTTCCATTCTTCATGTTTGGAAATGTTTTCATAATTAAAAATTTTCCTTTACATACTCAAAAATTGTTTGCAACCATCAGTTCTCCTTTTCATAGCTTTGGTACATTGCATAAATTTCATGTAACATGGTTTAGGTAATGAAAACTTTGAAGTCATTCAGTCCATAAATCTCACCACCAGTTCACTCAACTCATGTTTTTGTTGTTGGTGTCAATTTTGGAAAATGTAAAAAATACAGGAAAGTAGAAAGGATAACAAACATCCATGCTTCAACATCCTGAATTACTAAATATTAACTTTTTAAAGTACATTATATTGGTTATGCTATTACAAATGTCCTATTTTCCTTTCCCCTTTATTCTACTCTGCCTTGCACACCCCTCCTTCCAGCATTCCCTCCCCCACCTTAGTTCATGTCCATGGGTCATACATATAAGTTCTTTCACTTCTCTATTTCCTATACTGCTCTTAACCTCCCCCTGTCTGTTTTGTACCTAACATTTATGCTTCTTATTCCCTGTACCATTTTCCCCCATACTTCTCTCTCTTCCTCCCTGCTGATAACCCTCCATGTAATCTCCATTTCTGTGATTCTGTTCCTGTTCTATTTGTTTGCTTAGTTTGTTTTTATTTTTAGGTTGAGTTGTTGATCGTTGTGAGTTTGTTGTCATTTTACTGTCCATATTTTTGAACTTCTTCTTTTTCTTATATAAGTCCCATTAACATTTCATATAATAAGGGCTTGGTGATGATGAACCCCTTCAACTTGACCTTAGCTGGGAAGCACTTTATCTGCCCTCACATTCTAAATGATAGCTTTGCTGGATAGAGTAATCCTGGAATAGACCCTTGCCTTTCATGACTTTGAATACTTCTTTCCAGCCCCTTCTTGCCTGTAAGGTTTCTTTTGAGAAGTCAGCTGATAATCTTATGAGCACTCCTTTGTAGGTAACTCTCTCCTTTTCTCTTGCTGCTTTTAAGATTCTCTTCTCATCTTTAACCTTGGAGAATTTAATTATGACGTGTCTTGGTGTATTTCTCCTTGCATCCAACTTGTTTGGGATTCTCTGAACTTCCTGGACTTTCATATTTATTTCCTTTGCAAGACTGGGGAACTTTTCCTTCACTATTTTTTTCAAATAAGTTTTCAATGTCTTGTTCTTCCTCTTCTTCTGGTATCCCTCTAATTTGAATGTTGGAACGTTTAAAAAGTTGTCCTAGAGATTCCTCAGCCTCTCCTCATTTTTTTTGAATTCTTGTTTCTTCATTCTCTTCTGATTGAATGTTTATTTCTTCCTTTTGTTCCAAATCATTGATTTGAGTTCTAGCTTCCTTCCCTTCACTGTTGACTGGTTCCCTGTATAATTTTCTTTACTTCACTTTGTATAGCCATCACTTCTTCCTTTATTTTACACTCAGTCATTTCTGTGAGCATCCTGGTTTTGAACTTTGATAGGTTAGCCATCTACTTATCACTTAACTCTTTTTCTGGAGTTTTGATTAGTTCTTTCAGTTGGACCATATTTCTTTGTCCCGGTGCACCTGTTACACTGTAAGGAGTGGAGCCTTAGCTATTCACCAGGGTAGAGCAACCCACTTCTCTACATGTGGTGCTGTATGTGGGGGAGGGGTCTGAGAGGGAACAATGCCACTTGCTTGGCTCTCGCCCCACTTTCAGTCACTTTCCTTACTTCCCTCAAATGGATTGGGCCCTTTCAGGTGCTGATTCTGTGATGTGTGGGCTTGTGTATGTTCTAGGATCACTTGGGTCCCTCCAATGGACTCTCCTGTGAGTCTGGGAGTTTCTCCCACTGCCACGACTCCCACAGGTCTTAATAGCCAGAGATTTTGAGGCTTTAGTTCCCTTGAGTTGTGTGATCTGTCTCACTCCCCCATTGTTCCTCTCAGCTTACCTGCATGCAAATGTTGGATCACATGGTCTGCCACTGTCTCACCTGCCCCTGTCTGCTAGCTGCTGCCTTGTTGTGCATCCTTACCACTCTGGCTTCCCATCTCCTCCCCTCCTACCAATTTGGATGACTGTTTCTTCTTTAATTCCTTGGTCGTTGGACTTCCATATAGTTCAATTTTCTGGCAGTTCTGACTGTTTTTAATTTTTTAATTGGCTGTTATCTGTTTGGTTGTATGAGGAAGCAAAGCATATCTACCTAACATCTTCATCTTGGCCAGAAGCCTAAATGTTAACTTTTTATCGTAATTTTTTCAGTTCATTTGAAAATGAAATTTTACAAATAAAATCAAAGTCTCCTTGGCAAACTCCTAGTCCCAATCATCCTCCACTTTTTCAGAGACAATGACTATGATAAATTTTATGTACTTTTACTGTGGAAAAATGAATAGTACTATTCTACATGATTTTTAAAAGCTGATTATAATTGGCATTGTTCTGTACTAATGCTTTTGAGGTCTACCTAGATTGATATATATTAATTATAATGGCTCATTGCTATTCCACATATGAATATAGTACCAGTTAGTAGTATATTTTATCCCATTGTTGAAAAATTTCTCAAAAAAGTTCTCTGTATGCTGTCAGTACTTCTTTTTGTCTTATTCTCTCTTGAACCTGTTTCAGCAAGGATCCTGCCTATCCTTGTTGTTCTTACCTCAGTCACAGGTGACCTCTGTAATACCATATCGGGTGGTCACTCCTCAGCCCACATTGTGTCTTATCAGTGGAATTTTATACAACCGATCACTCCTTCCTCCTTGAATTGCTTTTTTCACTTAGCTTCCAGGGTATCATGGTCTCAGCTGGTTGTTTCTTTTCAATTTCTTTGCCAATACTAAATACTGGAGTACCCCAGGATCAATCGTTGAGCACCTTCTGTGTGGATACATACTCCCTTGGTGATTTCATCCAAGTCATGGCTTTAATGGTACATTTATGTACTGATGACTCCCCAAATTGTATCACCGGTTTAGAGCTCGTCCCTGTTATCTAGATTTATATACCTCACTAATTGACATCTTCACTTGGGTGTGTAATAGGCATCTCAAACTTCACATGTCCAAAACTGAACTCTTGATCTCTCCAAAGTTGTTTTACCTACAGCCTTCCCAATCATAGCTGATGGCAGTTCTGTTGGTCCAGTTGCTCAGTCCAAAAACCTTGGAGTCTTCCTTGACACCTTTCTTTCTTTTGCTCCATATCCAATTGATGAGCAAATGCTATGGGCTTTATTTTCAGAATGCATCCTCAAGTTTTCTAAGTCACCATCATCTTTCACCTGGATCACTACAGTTGCCCCCTACTTACTCTCCCTGCTTCTGCCCTTGTCTCTGCAGTCTTTTCCATACTGCAGCCAGAGTGGTTGACTAACAGTGTAAGTTAGATCAAGCCACTCTGCTGCAACTTGCCCCCTGTCACTGTTTCTCTCAGTAAATGCCAAGGTTCTCCATGCTACCTCTTGGCTTTCATCTCCTGGCATGCTTGCCTTTCATAGTTCATTCTATGCATAGGGCTTCTTTGATGTTTTCTGAGCATACAAATCACCCTCAACTCAGGCCTTTGTACTTACTGTGCCCTGTGCTGATGCGGACTCTGGCCCACGGGGTCCATTTGTTGTGACTACAATGAACAAATTCATACCAACTACAGAGGTCCTGTGGAGAAAAGGGATGGCATGGCTGCTCTCTAAATGAGAGAGCAGGCCTCAACCCCTGCCTGGACGGGCTTTTATTGCTTTTCTGGGTACATTACATCAAGGATGATCCTCATCTACTATGTGCAGGTTTGCTGTAAGTGATTACTTTTTACAGATAACAAAGGAAAGAGTGTTGCTAATTACTTCAAAGAGAAGGATGTTGCAGATCAAGGGTAAAAGTGGTTGAACTGATTACACTCTATTCTTGGCAGGGTTAGCACAGACTTTAGGAAGTTACTTTAGAGATATGCAGTAAACATTTTCTGCCTCAATCCAGGGTGAGGGAGTTTTAGCAAAAGCAAGTCTCATAGCAACCTAGGTACAATGCAGGCCTGATTCCCCATGGGAGAACCTATCTGTGGGCATGAGTCCTATGTGCCGACCTTGCTCCCCATCAGTTTTCCAAATCAGGGGCTGGGCTACATTCCCCATGCCACTTGGAATGGTTCTCTGTACTGTGCTCGGAGCATTCTTTGTTTAGGTACCCAATTTACTTACTACCATACTTCCTCAAGAATCTGACCAAAAGAGTTCTTTCTTTTCCACTCTTTAGAAGTAGCATCCAACTATTACCATGTACCTCCACCTCCCTTACCCAGCATTGGTTTTCTCCATAGGACTCAGGAACACCTGATATATATATTTGTTTGTTTATTGTCTGTCTCC